GGGACTCAAGGGGTGGGACCTAAACAAGGTTTGTGCATTCCTGACACTTGCACCGTATTTGCATGTTAGAAATTCTTTCCTTGAAGTGGCTCCCTATGAAAACCCAGACTTAGCAAACAAGTGGGGGAGAGACTCTTCACTTTGCTAGATAATTTTACTACAGTGTTACTTAAAATAGCTCCCCTAGCACACTTCAGTCATGCAATGCGTAGAATTGATTTACGTACAGTGTTGTTTTTTTAAGGAGGCATCTGCTGTGGGGTGTGTGGTGCCCTTATACTGACTTTTAAAAACCCATCTCCTGCCAAAACCCTAAAAAGCAAATTGACATTCAAAGACATCACATGAAATCATTTCTCTGTTTTCTTTCCCCTGCCACAACACTGGGTGGGGAAACATTTGCTCACTTTTTGGACACGTCAGGCTGAGCTGCTCCTGTCCGAAGCCCTGTGCTAGGTGCTGGAGACAGGACGGAGGGGATCCGATCGCCCAGGGGAGAGAGGAGGTGGTGGTCTTCCCTGCGACCACCTCGCGGGCATCACTAACCCGGCTTCCGTCTGCTCTCCCCCTCCCAGTGCTGAACGCCTTCAAGTACCCGCTGCTGATCGGCGTTGGCCTGTCCACCGTCATCGGGCTCCTGTCCTGCCTCATCGGGTACTGCAGCTCCCACTGGTGCTGTAAGAAGGAGGTCCAGGAGACCAGGCGTGAGCGCCGCCGGCTCATGTCCATGGAGATGGACTAGGCGGGCGTCCTGCCGAGGCGGTGACGGGGACGGACGTCTAGGAGCGATTTGGGCAAGAAGAGGACGGTGATGTTTAGATGTGACGTGTGTTCCACTAAAACCCAGTCCTCTCTAATCTCAGGTGGGACTTGGCGCTCTCTCCTCTGCATGTCCAGTTCTGAGCGCGGACACGCTGACCAGCACAGCTTTTCTTCCCACGGCACTTTCTGAGGACAGTCGAGTGTGTCTTTTCCCAACTGCGGCTTTTTAATGGTTAACCTCTGTCTAATTTTTTCTTCTACCGGTTTATAGATCTCTGAGTCGTGTGCGTTTATAGCTTTTGTTCCGGGGGGTTGCGGTGAGGACGGGGTGACGGCGTTCGGAGTTCTTTGTCCTGGGTGAGAGCCCGCTTCGGGGCTGGAGGCCGGGGTCCGGGGAGCGGCCAGGTGCTGCCCCCCACGCCGGCCCAGAGGCAACACAGACCTGTGCCGAAGGCGAATTTTGGCTTTTCCTACCCTGCCCATCCCCTATTTTCAGGGGTTTAGACCACATTGGAAACCTAAACTTGCGGTATGTAACTTCTTAGCGAGCCCAAACGCGTATTTTGGTTTTTCGCTCCCCTGCCCCCTCTCCGTTTCTTTGCCCTTTGCTTTCCGTGAGCGTGCTGGAATGCCAGCCCTGGAATCTAGAATTGGGCTCTCCACCAAGCACCTTATCACGCCACCTTAGCCTTAAGAATGACTATGAAGAAAAATACACAGCCACCTCCGTCCAGGGCAGTAAGAAGCTCTGCAAGGAAGAGGCGGTTGGGGACAAGGGAAGGAACAGATACTCACTGCGCTAGGGCCGAGGCCACTGGGCCTCGAGGGGTCCCAGGGAGAGCGGAAGGTGGATCCTGGGGGTTAGGTTTCTGCAGCTCGGGCCGGGAGGGTCAGTGGGGCCAGGGGTGTGTCAGGCGGAAGAAGCACCTCCATTCCCCAGCCCTGTCCTTTGCAGGAGGCAAAGGCCTTGGACACCAAGGGACGGCTGGGGCACCCAGGGATGCCCCACGTCCTTCATAGGTGGCTTGGTCTCCTTCACGTGAAGGACACTTGCTGCTTGGAGACTGGCTGACTTCACGGGATCGGAAACTGCCTGGAAGAACCGTGCATTTTCTCTGCCCTTTCAGTCCTGCGGGTCTTTGTAAGATCCCCCTGCGAGGGGCTAGCGAGAAAGGGTAGACTTGTGGGGATGTCTGCTTTCCTATTGGGAACATGAAGGAAACCCAGCAATGTCCTGCCATGTGAACAGCCTACAAAGTAGATCTGAGAGCAGTCTCTTCGGCCCGACTGCTCATACCAGCAATAGGACAAATGGACCAAAAGGGATCTTCCGCTCCCTGGAACGCCTGGCCCCCGGCACGGCGCTGAGGCTCGCGGGTGACCCGCCCCACATCGTACTCCTCTGTGCCACTGTTGTGGCTCTGAAGGACCTAACACTCCTCTGTTTTCTCAAGGGGGGAAAAAAAAAACCCACGCGTTTCTTCTGAGCAATAAAGTAATAGAAATGACGGCCATTCATGTACGGCTCTTTGTCACAGTGGGCCAGACAGGCTCACAGCTTCCTTCCCCTCCACGTCCCTCACTCTGCTGCCCACGATCCCTTCCACACTCATCACCGAGTCACCCCCCGGAGGCAGCTCCCCACTCAGCGTGTCCTTTTTGAGGGGAGCGCTCATGTGATAGGAGCGAGATTCTTCACTGACGGTGGCAGCACAGATGAGTTCCAGACACAGACGAAATGCGGGAAGACGGGCCGCGGGGCTGCCCCGGCAGAGCGTGAGTGGCGAGGGGAAGAGGCAGAGGCCTCGGTCGCACTAGAGTTGGGTATTTTCCACGTGTCGTTTCCTAACTGCTATTTCAGAGGACGTGGGTCACAGGTGATCGTTCAAACCGGAATTAAAGAGCGAACCCATGACCAGGTGCTGTGTTGGGTGCAGCCAGTGCCCTTGAGCCCTGGCAGTGCTCACACTTACTAGAAGATTCAGGATTGTTGTAGCGCAGGCCTTTCTTGGTACGGGGAAATGGTACTTAGCTTGGGACGTGACCGGGTGGCCCCAGGTGTATGTGAAACCATAGGTGGGTCACACCAGGCACTCGGTAGCCGTCGGGGCGACGTGTGCTCACACGATACCTTGTCCTTTCAAACTGCTGTGTGGTTCGAGGCTGGGGTTGTTGAGGCATTGGTCCCAGCCCCACCCTCGGTCCCTTGGGCTGGCCACACTGCCAGTGACTGGGGGCTGGTCCAAAGGGGAAAATCCCAGGGTGTTGTACCAAGGACCTCGTTCCTCCCAGGGACGTGAGCTTGCCAGGAATGTGTGTCCCTTTGAAAGTGCGGGATACACTCTTACGTTGTACCAAATAGAGCCCCACAAAGTGGTGCGCTGGAAAAGGTTCCTGCCATAAGCACGGGCGCAGATGAACGGAGGAAGGACTTGGCCACGATTCACACGGACGACGTTGCACTTCTGAACAAAAAGAAACTTTATAAATTGTTTGGGTTTTTTTTTTTCCAAATCCTAAACGTTATCCCCAGAAAGGGCCTAAGCTATGTTCAGATAGGAGCCTCAAAATTACTTTCAATTGTTTACTTTATGATGTTTACATACACTTTACACTTTAAAAAAAAAAAAAAATGCAAACTCTGACTTTGTAACAACTTTTCAGATTTTTCATGGGATGGTGGAACTCTGACTCACCAACTGGATTTAAACCTTAATTTAGAAATGTATTTATTTGTGTCTTTTCTCCCCTCCTCTCCGAGTGGCTTTCCCCGAGATCCCGGGGAAGGAGGCCCCTCCCACCCAGACTCTCGTCTGTCTTCCCTGGTGGCTCTTGCCTCTCGCTTTGCAGACTGCCCGCAGCCATGATTTTGTCACTGGCATCTGTGAGCCAAAGACTGAGCCTTCGTGGCAGGAATAGTAAGCAATACTACACAACTTGCTACTTTCAGAAGACTTTTTTTTTTTTTTTTTTGCAGCGAAAGAGGTTATATTCCAGGACTGTGAGAAGTAGATGCATTGGGGTGGCCTGGAGTAGACAGGCAAGGGGAAGAAAGTCATAAGATATGCTGGAAGTGCTGTACTTGCATTCCTTCCTTGGGGCAAGAGAACATTCTTCCAGGATCTCTCTGTAGGTTTGGTAATGGTGCATTACGTCTGGGCAGTAGTTCTTCACATAGTTATGCCTCCTTCCTTGGGAGAAATATAATCCAGAACTTCTCAAATGTTACAAATTCCAGAAGTCAGACAAATCTGTGAGCATTGGAAAGCCGAGCAAATCAGAAAGTATTGGAAAGAGGATGGTGGGTGTAGTTTAGCGGGCAAAGTTAAAACACTCTGATGATTAGAATACAAGATTTGGTNACTGGGCTTTTGGGTAAGTTCTCTGTCACTTTTGACCAAATTCTCAGTGATAACCATTGTGTTCACATCACTAGAGGAAGAGAGTTGACTTTCTTTTTAGCGTCGCACATAGGATCTGCCGAACTTTCCATAGACAAACGAAGGGTCTTGTGTATTTTTGTCTATATCTAATGTTATATGAACTAATTGTATTGTTTTATACTGTGACCACAGATATTATGCAATGCACCATTTGTTTTTTATTTCATTAAAGGAAGTTTAATTTAAATGGAAGTTGTGTGAGGAACATGATGTCGGCCTCTGTTATCTTTATCTCCTGCGTGAGGGATTAGAGTTGAATTCCGGCTGCAGCTTTAGCTAAACCTTCCGATCTCTGAGTCCTATGACAGCATCGCAGATTTTCACTAAAGATAAAAGCAGAAATGGATTTCACAGGATCAATATTGAGATCCCCACCGCGCGGGAAGGTGAGGGCCGGACCTGTTGGTCTTTGGGTGAATTCTCATGACCTTACAGGTCTCCTGGCCGGAAAGAGAAGTTCAATGTTGTTCCTCTCTGCAGATCAGGAAACCGACACCAAAGCTCTGCGACCATATCGTGACTGGAACAGAGTGGCTTTTCTGACTCACGACCTAGTCTGGAACCAAACCAGTCCAGGTCCTGGCCCCTGCAACATAAAAACAGTGCTGTTCCCCTGGCTGCTGCCTTCAGGGACCTAGACAGCAGGGAGCTCGGGGAGCCCCAACTTCCTGCTGGCCCCTGGAGCAGCACTCGGCCTTGGCTGGCCTCCCCCCTGGACTATCCTGTGAGCCTCATTTGTGTTCTGGGCAGGGACCACCTCACATTTTGAGGTCTGTGTCCTGGTTACTAACCTTGCCCAGGAACTGGCTCTGTTCCAGGATGGTGAAGGTCCCGGCGGTTTATAAATGCACAGTTAACACTCTGCTGTGGGAAAGGGCCCATCATTCATGCTGTCTGGGAGGATCGTGCTGACGTCAAAATGCCGGCACAGTGCTGGCTGGTGTGGCTGTTGGTTGGGTGTCATCCCACCCACCGAAAGGTGGGCGGTTGATTCCATCAGGACCATGCCCCAGTTTCAGGCTCGATCCCCAGTAGGGGGCGTGCAAGAGGCAACCAATAGAAGTTCACTCTCACATCAATGTTTCTCTCCCTCTCCCCTCCGCTCTCTCTAAAAATCAATTAAAAAAATATTTAACACACAAAATTGCTGGCACAGTCTCTCAGTATAAATTAAAGAGTCTTCTCTGTCCTGTTCTTTCTCCAACCTATTTTTGTCCACAGTACTGGTTACTGTGACTACATAAATTCATTGAATAGTAGATAAACCAATGAAATGTGAGTGCCAAAGAGAGAGATGCTGATAAAAGTACAGTGAATTCTCCAGAAAGACTCAATAGGGGCAAGTTGCTTTTTAAAAAAATGCTATCAATTTAGGTCCAGTCAAAACAACTATAAAAGGTCCAGGGGGGAGAAAAATCACAAAAACATGGAAGGATTCTGTATTCCATTGGCTTCACAAGTGTGTATTCCATTTTAAAGAAATCAAGCCTGACAGTTGTAGACAAGACATTATAGGTTTGGTTTCTGCAAAAATGTGATAAGAAACCCCAGACAACAGACACACACTCAAAGGAAAGACCTGGGCTTGTGCCGAGAGGTGGGTGAATGAGTTTATATGCACGTGGTTGAGGTGCAGATAAAAAAGTTGAGATATATAGGAGTATTTTTATGGTTCCCAACTTACCTGACATGTTCTGTTCATTGATGAGCTAACAACTCCTAAGTGTGCCCGACAGGGAAGTTTCTACTCTTCTAGCTCCCATTCTTGTAGATGAGGAAATGGAGACTTAAAGAATTTAAGTATTTTGCTCAAGAATTGAACCCAGATCTGATTACGAAGTCTGTAAATGTTCTCGACCACTACGCCAGCCGCAGGGCCTGAATATTTTGGGCATTCGTTCAGTATTTCTTGAATAATATAAGAACGGGGCCCTGCCCTCATGAAATTCATGATCTTATAGGAAGGGGAGGTGTGTAAATAACTCCTTTTATGACATATGGTAAGTAAGAGTATAGAAGCTCTCAGCCGCAGCACAGAGGAGGGAGTGGCGAACCCCACCAGAGGTATCAAGAGCGGCTGGCGACAGAACCCCGGAGACTACGTCAGAACTGGGCTGGAGGCGACCATCAGGTGAGAAGGAGCCTGGGAAGGAACTTCCAAAGGGGTGAGGGAAACTCCTGGGGAGACCGTGGAATTGTAGGAGGAAGCAAAGAATTCGAAGCAGGTTTGCCCATGGCCTGTGATGCCGGGTGTCGCAGAAAGACCAGGTCTAGAGAGAGCTGAGCAGTGTCCCGCCGTGACCCTGGACACTTGGAGCCAAGGCAGATTGCAGCGGGCGGAAGTTAAACAGCCAGAACACTGGGGGGCGGGGGCTTGGAGAGGGTAAAGAGGTGGCTTGAAACGAGTTAAAAGGTGCCTCTTTAGTAGAGTCGGAGGCGCCTGAGCTGCTTCATGGGCCCAGGAAGCCAGGAATGGGCACCTGTATCTAAGTGGGTAGGAGGGACCCAGAGCCCAGGTGGAGCAGCTTCCCTCCTCCCTCTCTCCAGGGCCTATTCTGAGCCCCCAGCCTTTTTTATTTTCTATCAGCGCTGGTTGTCAGCTAATCCCTGATAGGAAATTTAAGGAATAGCCCTTCCCGAGGGAGTATTTGAAAATAGCGGTTGGCCTAGGAAGCTGTCCCTCCCCCGCCTCCTGCTCGCCCGCCCCATCCCTGTGCCCTGCCTGTGGGAATCTAGTCCAGGTTTCCCCCCCACAGAGAGGAGTTGCCATCCCCCTCGAAAAGCTCTTCAGCCCTGGTTCACTGATCATCAGCTCCTGCTGAGCCTGGGCCAGTGGGAAGTAAGGGCCCTGCGTGGGCACTGTTCTTGGTCACGGGGCCCAAGTCACAACTGGGCCCATGTGAGGCCTCGGTTTCTCCCTCTGTTCTTTGAGGGAGTTGACTGAGATCATTTGATCTCTCCCTGTGGCATCACTGCTTGGTGTTGACGTGAGGCTCAGCCCATGCCCTTGGCAAGTCCCACGTCTCGGGATAGCCATGAATTTGACCTCAGTTGTTAAAAGTTCAGGTAGGAGAAGGAGCAAAATCATGATCAGCTTCCAGCTGACACACACTCTGCCTTCTCTGAAAGTCATGAATGGCAAGTTGGAAGGTGCAATAGAAAACACGGAATCAAAGTAAGAAGCAGCCGTTTCCTAGCCATGCAGTCGTGGTTAGGTTAGTTGGTTCCTCTGAGCCTCAGTTTTCGCGCCTGCAAAATGGGGTTATCAGTACCTATCACATAGTGATGTGAGTTGTTCTATAAAACTGCACATGTAAAAGGACTCTGTTTAAATATTTCTTGGGCCTGAATTCTTAGGACAGGAGGGCGCAATAGGTGTAATTTCTGTGATTCTGTGGAATTAATGTTTTGAGCGTGTCACACCTGAAAAAACCCTCTTTTCATAATCTTCCAGGACTGCAACAGGATTTTTTTTCTTTAGTACATTCCTATGTTGCTTTGTCCAAAACTGGCTCTCTCCCGCCATCTCAAGCAAGAATACATTTTACATTCCTTTCAACTGATACAATTGCATTGCACCGATTCCCAAGGTGGTAGAATAACTCTCTTTTTCTCTCCCTCTCTCTCTCCCCCTGGCTCTATTTTTTTCTTTCTCATTTTTTCTTGACAACAGAAAGCTGCTTTTTCCCTCCAAAAAGGAAATGACATCACCCTGTGAATGTTAAATTCTGGCAGAAATAGAGCCACTAAAATGGAAACAAATTAAAAAAAAAAAAAGCAGCAGCCAGGAATGAGAAGTTGCATAGTATTTACTTGGTTGTATGTATTTCAGGAATACAGGGTGCTCTGTATTATTGGCAACGATTATCTCTGTGGTCAATGCTGATTTCTAAAATAATTCTCTTTTCAGTGCACTTGGCAGACTGATTGAATCGATGGCCCCAGTTTTTTATCGCTCCTTTTGCAGTTCCCTTCACTAAAGGGATGGAGTCTGTTAATCCATCTCTTGCATTTGGACTTGGCCATGTGACTTGCTTTGATCTGTGAGATTTTAGCAGTCATGATGCAGATAGAGCTTTAAAAAGTATTGGTACGGCCCAGCCGGCGTGGCTCAGCAGTTGAGCATTGACCTATGACCCGGGAGATCCTGGTTCAATTCCCAGTCGGGGCACATGCCCGGGTTGCAGGCTCGATCCCCAATGGGGGGGCGTGTAGGAGGCAGCCGATCAATGACTCATCATTAGTGTCTCTCCCTCTCCCTCTCCCTTCCTCTCTCTGAAATCAATAGACATATTAAAAAAAANTAGGAGGCAGCCGATCAATGACTCATCATTAGTGTCTCTCTCTCTCCCTCTCCCTTCCTCTCTCTGAAATCAATAGACATATTAAAAAAAAAAAAAAGTACTGATGTGATTCCCCTAATTCTTTTGGACCCCTGACACCATGAGAACATGCCCAGGCTTCCCTCCTAGAGGGATATGAGGGGGCTCCAAGCCAAGGTCATCCTAGACCATCAAGCTCTTGCCAGCAGATGTGTCGGCTTGTGAATAAAAATAAATGTTTGCTCCTCTATGGCTCCAAAATTGTGTGGTGGTTTCTTACACAGCAATAACGGAGACAGTGCATTTGCCTAAAATTGTGGTGCCTGGGGCTGACCCATGACTTCACTGAAATGGTGAGCAGATTCTTGTACTTGGGGCCACACCGGTACTATGGGTGGCAGCCTGGAGAGGTAGTTTGGAATCTCCATTCCAGGTTAACGGCCCTTTAATTGTTCCCTAAATACAGCCTGCACACCCCTGCCTCTGTATCTTTGTAATTTCATTTCTCCCGACTAGAACGGCCTTCCCTCGCTTCTCTGCCTATTGAAATCATACCAGGTCTCTAAGGACCTGCTTAAATCCAGCCTTTTCCGAATGACCTGTGGCTGCCCTCTGCCTGCAGTGGTCGCTCCAGCCTGTTAGTTCCCAAGGTATTTCTTGCCAGAACCATAAATCGGATGGATCCCCAACACATGCTGCCTTTTATGGCTACTATTTCTTATCTACAGTTGTTTACTAAACTAGAGCCCAAGTTCTTGGCAGGCAGGGGCCCTTCCTCTCCTTTCATCCCCCAAGGCTTTTTCCCGTTGTTCCAAATGAGATATTCTCTTCCCCTCTTGCAAGTGTCCGGATCTCTTTAGTTGTATGTCTTCTAGGGGACCTCGCCTGATTTCCCTTGTGTGATAGCTGGTCATGTTCCTATTTTCCGCTCACCTCCGCCGAGCTCCACCGTCACAGACAAGCTCCTGAGAGGCTTGAACTCCGTGCGCATCTCTCGCACCTGGGAGGGTGCTGCTGCTACAGCGGCTGCTCCGGCAAGAATCTGGTTCCTTCATGTCTCTCTCCTCTGTCTGTATGTTAAACGCCCTAACTCAGGCCTCCATCATGACTCATGCAGAAAACTGCAAAAACCTTGTAGCTGGCCTTGTCTCCCTCATCTTACAACTAGTTAGCAATACGCAACAAAGAAATTAGCTTCCCAGGAAAATCCAGCCAGACAATTCTGCCAAACAAACAAAGAAACACACTTTCAATAGCTCCCCTTTGCTAAAAGCCCAACTCTTAGGCCTGCCTGCATGGCCCAGCCTGCCTCTCTAGACCCTTCTCGCTTCACTCCAGCCTCGAACTTGACTCCAACTGGAGGGCACAGCTGATGTGACATTATTCATGCCAAACGGCATCTCCCCAGCTGTGCCTGGCCCCTTTCCTCCCGAGGTGTTTCATTTCACCCAGCCCAGCCCATCCTGCCGGTCCCTGCTGCCCACCAACTTCCCCCATTCACTTTTGGTGCCAAATTTATCGTTGTGCTTTCAATGTGGAATTCTGATCATCCGAGGAAGTAGAAATTTCCTGAGAACCAAGACCGGGTTGCCAACACCTTTGTAGGTGCACAACCTACCGGAGCACCCAGAACACTGAAGTATTAAAACATTGTTGGATGGGTGGGTCGAGCCAGGGACCTGCCTGAAGTGGGCCGGTTTGCTATTGGCCTATCTAAATGTAGACTTGACCTAGGAACTAGTTCTCAGTGAGCTTACCCATTGCCTTCTAAGACTAGGGTTGGATTAAGTTGGCCAGAGTTCAGTGCCAGCTTTTAGGCTCTCCCCCGCCATCCTTGGTCCCAGAAGAAGAGTCCCGTGAATGTCAAATGATGGTGGCTGACATTTACGTAGCACTTAACCATGAACCAGACATTGTTCTAAATGTTTTAAGTAAATTCATTCAATTCTCACAGCAATCTGATGGGATACATACTATTTTATAGATGAGGGTTAGAAAAGGTTAATTAACTTTTCTAAGATCACACAGCTATTAAAAGTAGAGCCTGTGTGCAAACCCAGGCAGCCTGTCCCCAGATCCTGCCGTCATCACTGTCACCTCTTGTCCCCTGAGGTTCATGTGCTCCAGGGGCCCTCTCCCATTTCTCTCCCATGATGGGAGGAGAGGTCAGAGCTAAGAAAACATTTCTGCTTGATTTTTATATTCTGTTTACTTAAATTCCCTTGTGATTACCTACTGATGCATATTTAGCCAGGATGAGGCCTATATTTTCTTATTTTTATCTGTATAAACATAGACTGACCCACGAAGATCACCTTTTCACGTCCAAATTGGAGCAATTAGCAAAGAACCGTGATGCAACCAGTTTTGCTTTTGCAAGCCACGTCTGTGTCTCAGTGGGCTGAAAACCGCACGCTTCCTCTTTGCCTTCATAGTGAGAACATAGCGTTTGTCACTTGGCATCTGCACAACTTCAGTGACACCACCAGGAGAGCTCTGCCCTGGCCCCAATGGCACGCATCCCACGTGTGGCATCTTTCTTTCTCTTTCTGGGTAAGTGTCATCCTGCATGTTTCTCTTGGCACAGGGGCCGTGGGGTGATGGAAACAGGACAGTTTGGTTTCTGCAGGATAAACGAGGCCACACTTCTCTGGTGTTGGCAGCACTTTTCGGCTTTTGTCTGCAGTTTTGCTGGCTCTGCCTTCACCTTGTCTTCCTGGGCTAGCCCATCCCTGGAGACAGTAAGAGGCTCAGCTCTCCAGGCCCGGAGGAGATCGTACGGTTTGCCTGATGCTGGAGCTTGATAGATAAGCGTGCTTGGGGGTAGAAGGAAAGGTCATGAGAGCACTTAGTAAACTTAGTAGTTTTAGGCTAAGCTAAAAGAAGGTTCTGGATTTCACCTGGGCTGAAGTGGGAGCTGCCTACTGAGAGACTGAGAAGGGGCAGGGAGGTGCACTTGGCTTTGCTGAGGAACGTATGCTGGGGCCTTAGCTGGCCCAGGGGCATTTGTACATGCTGGAACACGGGGGAGGAAAGGGAAGCTTGAAGGTGAACAGAAGAACAGGTGATCTGGGGAGGGAATGACATCGTTCCAGAGTAGATTGAGCAGGGAGCAGGCACTAATCTGTGCAATGGGCTCCTTTAGCGTGTGGCAAAGCTTATAGACCCCATCTCAGACTAATTTCTTAAATGCATAAAATAAAATACAAAGGATTCCAGGGGAATCAATCATATTGGAATACAGTTATCAAAATATTTTTAAATTGATTTGAGAGAGAGAGAGAGAGAGAGAGACATAGATGTGAAAGAGAAACATCAATTGGTTGCCTCCCAAACATGCCCCGACTGGGGATTGAACCCACAACCTGGATGTGTTCTTTGACCGGGAATCAAACCCGCCACCTTTTTTTGTATACGGGATGACACTCCAACTAACTGAGGCAGGGCCCAAATGTTTTTAACTAGATTGTTATGTAGTCACTTACTTGTTTCTTTGGTGGCCTATTAACCACCAAACTTCAGAGTACTAATGAATATCAACAATATTTCAAGATATTTGCAACAACCAGAACGTGATGTGAAAATATTTACGGTTTGTTGTCTACATTCATGACTGAAGGAAATACTAAATTTCCATGAAGATTAGTGAACATAAGAATATAGGGTGTTTGGGGTTGTTTTCACCCAGGTTTACGGACCCTGTAATCCCATATGTGGACCCAAGGTTAAGACCTGCTGCTTTACAGAGGCTGGATTGAGTTAGTGAAGGGACTTGAATGACTAGAACCATAAGGGAACTAGAAATTACAGTCAGTGTGACCAGGGCTGTGGCTAACACACAAAAAGAGTGTGGCGTTCGGCCAAGGAGGTGTTTAATAAACACTGGCTTGAGGTGAACTGGGCTCATGTTCAAGGGACACTGGATAGTGGGAAGTAAGGACAGATCCGGGGCTTGATGTGGTGAGAGGTGGCCTGCCGAAAGATGACTGGGACCAGCTGCTGGGTGACCCGTGCCCAGGTGACTGGCCTGGGGACATCGAGGGCTCAGTGGACTGGTGGGATCCTTTGGGGATTGTTGGCTGGTGTGTTCCTGTTTGTCCTGTTCAGGTGTCTGAGTGTGATTCTTGAGTGTATTTGCTTTGTGAATTTGGAGTGTGTGTTTTGCTTGCGTGTAGGGGGAAGCTGGACGTATTGTTGGACAAGTCAGACAATTGCAGATTCTCTCTCTTTTTTTTTTGAGCAGGCTGGAAGGTCTGGAGGGAAAGAAACTGGTAATTGTGGTTTAAAATGGGGAAGCTGGAAAAGCTTTTCTTTAACCCTTTTAAACAATGACCTATCCTGGGTACTATATTTCTCCTAAATTCTGACTCATCCTCAGCACTAATTTTGTATAGAACCACAGTTTTTATGTGAAGAACACATAAATCAGGAAGTAACTTGAAAAAAATGTAGGAAGCTGCTATTAGTCATCATGGGTATCGAGGGGAAATGAAGGACATTAATTAAGTAGTGACCAATCCATCCATTGCATTGTTTAGCAAATATAGACTTTGTCCTAATTTATTTATATTTTTAGTAAATATAAGGACTGCTTAATCCTGTTATAATAGGGTGCTAGATGAAGTCAATGTTACGGGTAAATGAGCTCTTGGACTTAGCCCTTACCTGACTAGATGCCCTACCAACAAAAGCCATTAAAATGGGAGGGTCTTGGGGTAGGGATATTGTTTGTCTTACTAAAACTATTCATTAAAAAAAAAAAATTCTACTAATTTCTGGGTGGAAGCTGTCCCAGACTCCATGCATTTAGGTTTGTTTTTCTGTGTGTAAAGACAGGAGTTGTGTGTTGTGTTCCATGTTCTCCAGGTAGGTATTTTTATAAGGTGGAATCATTTGGAGTTGCTGTTTTTGTGCATCAACAATGGCCAATATGAGCCATTTTATGTGGTTCAACCTGATAGCTTCCATTCAAATAGTACTGAAATGGCGAATTTGGCAATCCCGGTCATGGTTTTGGAAAAAGCCAATACCATCAAGGAATTCTTCCCGTTTCAAAAGCATGACCCCAGTGTGGCGTGTCCGGGCCCAGCTGTGTGCCCGTCGGTCAGTGAGACTTTGAGCTGCCGTGTCAGGGTGTCTAACCCTCTGTCCATTAAAAGAGGGGAGGAGAGATATGTGCACTGTATCCCACGGAGAATGTGTTTATAATAGGACATTTCAGAGGAGGATCCCAATGCATAGACATCTCAGTTGACCTCCACCAGCCATTCCTTTCCACCTCAAAGGTACTTATGGAATCTCTCCGCCATGTCGCTTGCTTTTCCAAGAAAGCAGCGCCACCCCGGTCACGTTCTTGCCCTCACGCCCCTGCTCGGGCCTTGCTCCATCAGTCATCCTCTCTCTGGCTTCGCCCGGCCGGGCCGCGGTGAAATGTTTTAAATGCGATACCTGTCTCCCTGAAAATGTGGACGAAGGGTTGCCTAGCAACCAAAAATAACATCGTGGAAACATGCCCTGATGTAAACAGGTTAGTGGTACGCACCTCAGAAACCGTATTTTTAAAAGACATTTTTATTGTGGCCTACAACACAAAAGAAAAGGTAATAGAACATAAATGCGCCGTCGAACAAATAAGTAACAAGTAAAATCCGTGTAATCACAGCCCAGGTCCAGAAATAGATAGACCATTGCTAAGACCCGAGAAGCACCCACCCGCCCTGCCATGTGTCCCATCCTGGTCACGGCCCTCCCCCCACAAAATCACCTTTCTGACTTTCATGATAACCACTTCCTTGCTTTTCTTTTCTTTTTAAAAAAATCTTTTTACCCCTTATGTTTGCATCACTAAACAATACAGTCTAGTTTTGCCTGTTTTAAAACTTTATAAGGAGTAGAATCATTCGCTATATAGCCAAAAAGATTCAAAAGTATTTTGCACCTTTTATTAAATACAGTTATTCACATTGTTGCAACTATTGCATTTTATGAATGTACTGAATTCATCTATTCTACTGTTGATGGGCAAAGGGGTGGTGTCTCGTATGGGGCTATAATAAACCGCACAGCTGTGGATGTTCTTCCACGGGCAAGCCCGATGCACAGGGCACGTGTTTCCCTAAGATGCATGTCTAAGACTGGCTGGCATTGCTGAAAATGTCCTCAATTGCCTCTGTAGTGTAATTTTTTTGGTAAGTAATAATTTAAAAATTTCTCAGATGGTCTAACTTCTATTTCTAGGCATAATGTAAATATAAAATAAATATAAAATTGGGATTTATGAATACAATAGTGTATTTTAAATTATTACTAGAAATGTGGGTGGCTGGTTGATTGGTTGGATGTTTGTTTTTCAGTTTTGCATTGAGCACACACATGTGCACTTTTTAGTTGACTATATCTGGTGACTACCCTTTCTGCCCATTTTTCTCTAGCCCCCTTCTATCAGAATTGTTTTCATTCCAAAATTTCTATACTCAGCCTAATGGTCTCTTGAATGTCATTTTTCCTTTCTCTCACTGTTTTCCCTTCAGTCTCCTTCGCTCTTTGTCCAGGAGAGTAAAAACATCCAGCAGATGCTCGCTTCTTCCATATCTTCTTATGGCCCCATTCTCTTCATTCCTTCAGCTTAGCTCCCCCGACTCGTGACCTCTCCTGACGTCCCCGGCGCCTTCTCCCCTTCTGCTGGCCCTCGGCCCTTGTGAAAGGTCCGGCTCACCCTTGTAGCCTCTCTGTCATCTGTTTTTCCTTCTTTCCGGAGCACAAACTAGCCTTTAATATTAACATAATACATGAGTAAACTCATTGTAATTTCTGCAAAATGCTTGATTTTGAAAATGTGTATCTCAGAGGAAATGTTACCATTTAATAATGTTTTCTCCTTTAAATCTAATACATGAGATTTGTCCCAACAGGAAAACTTTCTTCCATAGTGGTCCCACATGAAAACTTGGGGTAAGGAAAGAACTAAAATAAGTTCTGATTCCAGATCCTGCTGGACTTGACAGGCATCTTTATGAAGCTTTTCAATAAAGCGGTAGGGGCTCTTTACAAAATTACAGTACAAAAGCCCCTCCACAGTATCTATGTCTTTAGATGCTAATTTTAGCTGATCTTGTACCAGATGTGGCTAGGAGCCACAAATAGTTCCAACCAACCCACAGGAAAAAGCATGACCCCATGGGTAGGGCTGGAGACTGTCTCTCCAGCAACCACATCTGAGAGAAAGGCCACCCAGGAATTTGAGGCTTGGGAACTACCTGCTGAGTTTTCCCAAAAAATAATGTACAGGTGAATCATCATACATCGTATTTACTTGAAAATAAGTGCGCTTAGATAAGCACATATGTCTCATGGAAGACATCTTACATGGATGAAGCTAGACTTGTTTTTTTAAAAGAGTTTTTATTGGTTTTCAGAGAAGAAGGGAGAGGGGGAGAGAGACAGAGAGAGAGAGAGAGAGAGACCTCGTTGGCTGCCTCCTGCACGACCCTTACCTGGGACTGAGACCACACCTTGGACATGGGCCCTGACTGGGAACTGAACCAGCAACCTTTCGGTGCACGGGACGATGCCCAGCCAACTGAGCCACAACTGACCAGGGCTAGACTCGCTTTTAACAGAGACTAGAGGTTATGATGGAAGCTAAAATTATAAAAGCACAATTGACTCCCCCAGCCATTCCGCTGCTCCTGGGCCTAAAGGAAGTGTTGAACACCTGAGCTGATTATAGCTAATAACCAGCAATCTCATTTGCTGGAATTGTAACGCAGGGAGCCGCAGAAGGCGGCACGGTGGGAACCGGGACACTGATCTACTTTAACCCCCTTTCTTTCTCCCACTTGCAAGCTAAGCTCAGCATTGGCCAGAGAGAAGTAACAGTTCAGAAAGGACCGCTGTTCCGAGCCGAAGGGTACCCTGTCAGCATTGGCTGCAATGTCACCGGCCACCAGGGACCTGCCGAGCAGCATTTCCAGTGGTCCGTTTACCTGCCGGCAGCCCCGGCCCGAGAAATCCAGATCATTAGCACCAAAGAGGCCGATTTCTCTTACGCCATGTATGCTCCGCGGGTGCAGAGCAGGGACATCTACGTGGAGAGGGTCCGGGGCAACTCGGTCTTGTTGCACATCTCAAAGCTCCAGGCGAAGGATTCTGGTGACTATGAGTGTCACACACCGAACACTGATGGAACATACTATGGGAGTTACAGTGCGAAGACTGCTCTAATTGGTAAGCTGTGTGCCTTCCCCTGCCAGCCAGCCCCAGAAGCCAGAGTCTCCGTCGTCACAAGGCCTTGCAGTGAGACCTGGCTTTATATTGTGCTGTTTGCTTTGGCAAAAGAGCCCACCATTTGTGAGATTTGTCACAAACTGGTATTTCGTATTCTCTAAATCTCTCAGTTTATCCAGTCAACTTTGCCATGAAGGTTGAGATAGTGTGTGGTCTTCCCAAGACCTTATCTACAGCTACCAGTAAGTTGATCATAGCAACAGCATCAGTCAAAGCCTTGAGAGTTTTCACCATGTTATGTCTTCTCCTGGAGGCAGAACATTAACTTGATAAGAGCTGGTGTTGATACCATAGGTGGGACGTCATTAACTTGGAAATGCTTATTTTCAAACTACCATTCTCTAGCATATTTACCTAAAGGGAGAGGGTGATAGTTCTTGCAATTACCATTTTTGTCCCTTTGCCTAGAATATCTGATCACCCCTTTTTCAGCCTCGTAAACTCCTACATATACTCCAGGACCCTGTTTAGACATTACCTGTGCTGTGAAACCTGTCCTGACTGTCTCAGGCAGTATCCAGCTTTGTTTCCTCGTGATGCTGTGCTCAAGAGGAGCTATTATCAGCACTCACCCGTTTACGTGGTGCTTGGCTCCTTCTGCAACTCTCTCCTACCTCACTCTGAGCTCCAGGAGTAGAGAATGTTCATCTCAGTCCCTTGCCCAAGTGGCTAGCCCTGAGTCGATGCTCAGTAAATATTCGTTGATAGAATCTAAGTGTCGCCTTCATCTGAACTTAGGCTCTGTCATTTCCTTTGAGGACGGAGAGAATGGGTAGTGGGATGGTTATCAAAACTTTTGTAAGGGTTGCATTTTATCTCTGAATCACAGATAACAACAGATTGTTTCCGAATTTTATGTTATAAAGGGGCAGGTTAAGGCCCAAGGAAGCGAAGTGACTTGCTCCAGTTCATGTAGTCAAATGGGGACAGATTTAGAATCAGAATCTAGGTCTTCTAGCTCCCAGGGCTTTCCCCTTTAAATACTCTGTGTCCAAGTAGCAAAATTGGTTACAGCCGATGCTAAAAATGTAAAGTCAGGGTCAGTCCATCAGTGAGCCAGCGTCTGCATGGCCAACAGGGAATGCATACGGCTACTGGAAAAGAAACGCAAAGTGTATGCTTTACAGATGGTGGGTTGGGGTGTCATCTTCATCTCAGAAGGCTAGTCTGACAGATATTGGGCCAATTATTGCTATTGCTTTGCTTCCAGTTATCCCAGACACGCTCTCTGCCGTCATGAGCTCCCAGACCCTCAGTAAGGAGGAAGGTGAGCCGTTAGAACTTACCTGTGAGGCAGCCAAAGCCACAGCTCAGCATACCCACCTGTCTGTCGCCTGGTACCTGATGCAGGATGGAGCGAGTCCAGCCACCACGATTATTTCCCTCTCCAAAGATTTCATGTTGATCCCTGGGCCCTCATACGCAGAGAGGTTCGCGCTCGGTGACGTGCGGCTCGACAAGCTTGGGGCCGCTACCTTCAGGCTGTCCATCGGGAGCCTGCGGCCCTCGGATCAAGGCCGGCTGTTCTGTGAGGCGACTGAGTGGATTCAGGATCCTGACGAAACCTGGACTTTCATCGCAAAAAAGCAGACCGATCAAACGGCTCTGAGGATCCAGCCGGCAGGTGATTATCTTCTTAGAAAATTAATACGCTGGAAGTGGGTATTTATGGGATAACTTTGTTTTCTTCTAAACTTTTGTGGAAGAGTTCTAGTTTTCATTTTTGAGGGGGCTCCACGCTGTCTTCTATAATGGCCATACCGATTTACATTCCCACCGGCACTGTCCAAGAGTTCCCTTTTCTCCATACTCTCACCAGCGCCTGTTACCTTTATCTTTTTAGTAAGAGCCATTCTAATATATGTGAGGCGATACTTCATGGTTCTGGTTTGCATTTCACTGATGATTAGTGATGCTGAGCACCTTTTCATATACCTGTTGGCAATTCGTATGTCTTCTTTTGAGAAATGTCAGTTCAGGTCCTTTGCCCATTTTTTTTAAATCAAGTGATTTGTTGGTGGTTTTTGTTTTTGTTTTGTTTTTTTTGCTAGTGAATTGTATGAGTTCCTTATATATTTTGGATATTACCCCTTATCAGATATATGGTTTGCAAATATTTTCTCCCATTTTGTAGCTCGTCTCTTCACGGCGTTGATTGTTTCTTTCATTGAACAGGTTTTGGGTGGAGTCTTTTGGGGTTTCTACATATAAGGTCATGCCATCTGCAAACAGATGATTTTACTTTTTTTCTGATTTGGATGCATTTTATTTTATTTTTTTCTGCCTAATTGCTCTGGTTAGGACTTCTAGTGCTATGTTGAACAGAGGTGGTAAGAGTGGGCATTCTTGTCTTACTCCTGATCTTAGAGGAAAAGCTTTTAGCTTTTCACTGTTAAGAATGATATTAGTTGTAGACTTGTCATATATCACATGTGCTTTTAACTTAGGAAAATTCCATTAGATATTCTCAGCCAAAATGTAGAATAAGACATCACAATTTCTAGTAATTGAACATGGTATAAAATATTTTATATTTTAAAAACACATTACTGTATACTTTATATATCTATGTATGCATCCTGCTTAATAGGATTGCGTTCAGAAAACAGGTATGCTGTTCTTTCTGTGTGATTTAAAAAACAGTCAAGGGCGTTTTTGATCCTAGGCATTTCTTTGGCTTATCTCCTCCTTAGAACTGAACCCCCATATGACACTCAATTCCTGTCCTGTCCTTACAGGGCTGTCATCTCTCTCTGCAGCGGCCTCTCTAAGCACCTGCCTTGCTTTTGTTTCCTAGTGAGAGATTTTCAAGTCAACATTACGGCTGAGAGCACGTTTACTGAAGGGAAACCCTTAGAACTGGTGTGCCTGGTAGCGGGCGGCGGCCGGGACCCGCAGCTTCAGGGCACTTGGTTCTTCAACGGTATTGAAGTGGCCCGCATTGACGCTGGCGGAGTCCTGGGCCTGAAGAAAGACTACGAAGAGAGGGCCAGTCAAGGACAACTCCAGGTTTCCAAGTTAAGCCCCAGGGCTTTCTCTCTCAAGATCTTTGCTGCAGGCCCGGAGGATGAAGGTGCCTACAGATGCGCAGTGGCAGAGATGGCAAGAGCTCGGATGGGCTCCTGGCAAGAGCTTCGGAGAAAGCAGTCCCCAGACAGCCCCGTGCACCTGAGGGGGCCAGCAGGTATGTGAAGTCAGGCCAGACGGATCCGGCTGTTTTCAGATCCTCCCCTCCATTCATATAGGAAGCCTCTTGGGCGAGGTGGAGGTCTCCTCAAGAGTCAGGTGTCAATCAGATNCTTTCAGATCCTCTCCTCCATTCATATAGGAAGCCTCTTGGGCGAGGTGGAGGTCTCCTGAAGAGTCAGGTGTCAATCAGATCACTTGGAGGGAAAGTAAAGGAAAACACNTTTTCAGATCCTCCCCTCCATTCATATAGGAAGCCTCTTGGGCGAGGTGGAGGTCTCCTCAAGAGTCAGGTGTCAATCAGATCACTTGGAGGGGAAGTAAAGGAAAACACCCAAACTAGCCGAGGCCCTGAGGCCCATTCTTGAGCCATTAAATCGGTCATGACCGTGGATACTCCACTTTATGTCTCTCGATCTCAGTTTCCTCACATGTAAAATAATGACGTACAGTTAGATTGCCCTGAAATCCTTTCTTGCTGGCCTAGATTCTTTGATTCTGTTTGCCGTTAGCCCTACGTTTTATACATCACGGGGGTGGGGCTGTTCTTCAAGCAGAGAACACTGTATGAATGAAGCCCTCTGTCTTGTGTGTGTGATGTGAGTAGGTTAAGAGGAAAAAGCTCCACTTTGCCTTCTTCCTGGGGCAGGAACACCCACATTACACCCCCACACTCCTCCCACATCTTTCAGGTGCCGTTAGTCAATCCTGTGTTATCTTAAGCAGACATAGGGACCGATCCCAAGTCTTAATTCTGCATGAAAGCGTAGCTCAGGGTGAGGCGTGAAGGGGGAGAGGGCGTAGTGTGCGGGCTCTGTTCCCTGCCTTTTGCTGTGATGTGGCGAGACACCCGTCCAATGGGTCTGAGTATCTGGAGGCATGAGACTAGAAAGGCCACTCAGCTCTCGTTTGGTTTATGAAGGTTGGTGGACCTTAAACATGCTTGAATAGTCAGTGCTTTTTGTGTGAAGAGAAAACAGACAAATACACAACTAATACAGTGGTCCCTCGGTGTCTACGGGGATTGGTCCCAGAACCCCCCGCAGATACCACAGTCCATGGATGCTCAAGTCCCTTATATAAAACAGCACAGTATTTGCACGTAACCTATGCACACCTGTATACTTTTAAATCATCTCTAGATTATTTATTATACCTAATACAATGTAAATGTTATGTAAGTGGTTGCTATTCTGCACTGTTTAGGGTGTAACGACAAGGAAAAGGTCTGTACATGTTCAATCCAGATGCCACCATCTTAGGCCTAACTCTGTAGTAACGTCAGCAGCAATAATAACTTTTTATGTGTATAAAATTTTCCACCCATGGTTGGTTGAATCTGCAGATGAGGAACCCATGGGTATAGAGGGCTGACTGTATTAGGATTCTCCGGGCCAAGTAGTAAATTCAAAGTCTAGAAAGATTTATTTGCCCAAAAGCAAAATCAAAAACAAAAACAAACTAAAAATAAAGATATCCTTGCTCATTGGAGGCATCTCCAAAGATAGATCAATTTCCCTTTCACGCTTTTCTTCGTCGCCCCGCTTGCTAGGAATGAAGACAAGGAAGCTGCGGCCCGAGAGCCAAGCCAGGAGGCGCGTTGGTGTTAGTTTTCACACCAAACATTTGGTCTAACTTTCTAGGAATCAGGGAAAACTATGTAGGAGGTTTACATATTTACACAAAGCTAAATCTCTGCTTTGTGCATCTCAAGTTCCCCTGGAGCATATCTGTGACCTTTCTTCAACCCAGAATGTGGGGATTTGTGCCAAAGGGGCCTATAGGTGTACTTGGTGGTGTACAGATCCTAAGCCTATCAGTAGGGTGGTCTTCTAAAGCCAAGCGCAGTTCTTTGTCTAGGCTGGACTCCAAACTGGGCCCAGTATGTAGACAGAAAAATAATTTAGCAAATATATTAAAGATCCTATTGAGCACTCAGTTTTAAAAGCCAAGCCAAGCCCTGGCTGGTGCGGCTCGCTTGGTTGGAGTGTTGTTCTGTACACCAAAAGGTGGCAGGTTCGATTCCTGGTCAGGGCACATGCCCAGGTTGTGGGTTCGTATGGTAGGCAACCAGTTGATGTGTCGCTCTCTCTCTACCCCTTCTCCTCTCTCTAAAAATAAAAAAATAAAAGTCAAACCATTATTTGAAATATGAGCAGAGTTGTATCATTCTATGAACATTTTAAACAGAAGGGAGCACTCACTGTGGAAACCAGAAAAGTGAGCGTTCATGCTGCCTGTCACTACCAGAGCCAATAAGTAGAGACAAGGATTGTCTCTTTATGGGCAGTTAATTCAGATGGCCGGCGATCTGAGAAAACGGCGAGTTATGTGCCCTAAAAAGACCGTCTTACGTCTCATTTCAAGCCAACCTGTTTTACAAGGAGAAGCAAAATGTAGGCAAAGGGTTTAGAATTCAGGAGAAAGTAGGTAAGGGGTTTAGAATTCAGGGAAAAAGGTTAATCAGATAAAAGCTGCAGTCTGGTCATTTTCCGAGCATCCCTCCATCAGCTGACCGGTGATTCTTTATCAGCATCCTGGGCAGTGGACTTTGTCTCCCTGGAGCACAGGGGCTCAGACACCGTCTTGGTCACTTGCAGTCCTCCTGGACACAAAGGTTGAATTGCTTGCAGGTCTCCTGGAGTCAGGGCAGGTCCAGGCATATATTCCAGTCCCCAGGACAATAACTTTCTGCATGCATTAATTACCAAGCCTATTAACTATCTAAAGCTAAAAAAGTTTTTTAACTTCTTGAATTCCCCATCACTACCACTGTGAGTGTGTAACTTATCCACACTTCTTACCAAGAAGCGGTAATGACCAAAATGAACTAAGGCACCCGCATTTAAAAAAAAAAAAAAAAAAAATTGATGTCAGCTGAAACTAATCATAATGGTTATATCAGAGTGGTGAGATTATGAGTAATAATTTTCTCTCTAATTTCTAAATTTCAGTTATGAATCTATTTTTAACTTAATAAAAATTTAAGTGTAATCATACCTTTAATACCCAAAATTTGGAAACAGGTTTGCATGTACATATATGCACACACACACACGTATATATACATAAATTGTAGACATTAACCTTCATTCTGCCTTTGTAACATACATACATACATACATAAAACAGTAAAGACTGATCTACTTCCACTGGGTACTTTCCCTTGTCAGCCAGGCTAAGCCCTTTGCGTGTGCCATTCGTTTACTTCTCTCAACAATGTGATAAGGTGGGCGCTATTATTACCCCTATATTTACAGGAAAGAAAATTGAGGCTCACAGAGGTCAGCTGTGTTGCCCAAGATAATTCTGACTCCGGGGACCTTGGCCTTAAGCCTGAAGCTGGACTGCCTCGGATGCATGGGCTCCTGAGGTATCTTTGCTGTGCCCACAGAGCACCCAAGACAAGGGCTTGCACAGGAAGCGGTTGTTGAATGAATGTCTGCATTTCTACTCACCTTGAATTTCCCACCTGGGAACCAGACTCACATTTATAGTTTTACACTGTAGTTTAGATAAAAGAAGGATCTCCCTTCAACCAACACCATACATATATTATATGTAATTTGAAAAAGAGAAATATATCTGCACATATGTATTTTCCCCCCCAGTAATTGTTTTTAATGGCAGTATTGTGAACAGAAATCCTATGGACAATGCTCCTTCCCTGTTCGAAACACATGCTAATTAGGGAAAGATAGCAGGGAGAGGAGGGTCATTTTGAGCTGTGCAAGCCTGAATTCCAAAAAACTAAAAATTTAAATAAACAGCTTCATTACTTTCAGGGTCATACACCCACTCTAATTAATTTAACACAATATTGCCAGATGTTTCCCCAACTCGACATTCTTAAGGAAGGGCTGATGTAACACGTTGCTAAAAATAAGGGCAAATTATAAACTGCGTAAGTGTAAATACGCTCTGTGATAGTCTTTCTGCTGTCTTGTTTCCACTGTTTAAGTGTTTAGCAAGTCTTTTTTCCTGAGGTGTACAGGAGTAAACAGCCCGATCTAATTCGTCACGAACCAGTCAAGTCCTAATTGATGAGCTCTCACTGTGTTTTAGAAAATTTTTCATTTACTTGGAATAATTTTTTCTTCTGAAATCTGTAATCCACAGCAAGAAGTGTGGTCGTGTCTGCCCAGAACAGGCAGCAAGCTGTGTGGGAAGGAGAGACACTAACCCTTCTCTGCAAGGTAGACGGAGCTGAAAGTCTCCTGTCCGTGAACTGGTGGCATGTGCCACAGGGGCAGACACAGCCAGAGTTTGTGGCAGGCATGGAGCAGGATGGCATCATGCAACTGGGTGCCTCCTATGGGAAACCCACTAACCACGGCCGCCCAAGGCTGGAGAAAATGGACTGGGCCACCTTCCGGCTGGAGATCACCTCCACCATGGTCACGGACAGCGGTGCCTATGAGTGCAGGGTGTCTGAGAAGACCCGGAACCAGGCCAGAGGTCTGAGCTGGACTCAGAAGATGTCAGTCACTGTAAAATCCCTGCGTAAGTGTCAAAGAAATCCTTCTCTGGACTTTCAGTTCATCAGCCCCTTCCCTTTGCAGTGCGATGAGGTGGAATCTGATTGTGTCTCATCATGAATCCCCTAGTTATGGTATGTGTACCCAGGACACAGAGCATAGTCTTTGGCTACCATATCTGTCAATTAATCTCTAGAGTTCACTCATGTTTTGTTTTTGTTTTGTTTTTAAATATATCTTTATTGATTTCAGAGAGAGGAAGGGAGAGAGAGAGAGAGAGAAACATCAATGATGAGAATCATTGATTGGCTGCCTCCTACACGCCCCCCACTGGGGATGGAGCCCGCAACCCGGGCATGCACCCCAACTGGGAATCCAACTGCGATCTCCTGGATCCTAGGTCCATGTTCAACCACTGAGCCATGCCCGGCTGGGCTCACTCATCTTCATAAAGATCATCTTTAGGGTGCAACTTGCAAGTTGTCATTCAAGGCTAAACACGAAATCCTATGAATTAGAGTAGGCTCATAGAAGAGATGTGCCGAGGGGAGCTGGGCCCCATCCACTCAGGCCGTTGACAGCCGAAGCCCTGGGATGACCGTCTCTCTCGCATGTGCAGCGCCCATGAGCTGGGGGAGGGAAGGCGGCCGCCGGGCCTGGGGAGCGCCCGGCCCACTCAGCGGCAGCTGTCTCGGGGGCAGACTGGACAAACACTGCCTGTTTGTTGTCGCTGCTGAGAACAGTCTGAGGAGAGGTTCCACTTTGGAAAATTGAAGTCAGAATTCAGGACAGACTGTACTGTGAATCACCACCTGCCCCCCAAATACTCGGTACTCCCGAAGAACGACTGATGTTGCAGTGTGCAGAGGTGGTGCCTAGAGAGCCCGACAGTCCTGTACTTGGACTTGATAATCATATCACGCATTACGTTTTGCGTTTCTGCCCACAGAGTCAAGTTTACAAGTTAGTCTGATGAGCCGTCAACCGCAAGTGAAATTAACCAACACCTTTGACCTGTCCTGCGTCGTGGGGGCCGGCGACTCCGGCCTCCAGGTCCCGCTCACCGTGACGTGGCAGTTCCAGCCAGCTGGGTCTCCAGGCTTTCACCAGCTGCTTCGAGTCACTCATAACGGCACCGTCGAATGGGGAGACTTCCCGTCCCAGTTCCAGACGAAGACGAAGGTTTCACAGTCTTCGCTTCGTTCTCAGCTCCTAATCCACGATGCCACCGAGGAAGAGGCGGGAGTGTATCGGTGTCAGGTGGAAGCTTATGACAGAAATTCCCTGCACGTGAATGGCCCCGCGAGGGCTTCTGCCGTCTCTCACCCGCTGAGGATAGTCATCTCTTTACCAGGTAACGACTCCTCGAAATTAATCCCTGCTTTGGGTAAGTTGTAGAATGAAAGCATGAAATACCTTCTCCCTGTGTTTGTCCTGCGTAAGTCAGCACCACATATAAGCGACGTCCAGGCTCACACTAAGTTAGCATGCACAGAAAGAGCATGCTGGTTGTTACAACACCGAAATGGTTCACACTGACTAATAATAACTGTTACTCTGTGCCCCTTCCCCATCTTCCCACAAGTCCCCACAGTCAGCAACCCAAGGGTACCATACTCACAGCAGGGGACCTCTAGGGCCAGCTCTCGCCATGAGACGTCCTTTCAGACCGGTCACCGCTCATGCCTTACCAGTCATTCAGTGTGTGGACTGTCTTCCCTTAGTGGTATGGATCATGTAAATTTCATTAGAGCATATTTACCCACTTACATTAATGTGTTAATGTATAAGAGTTAGAGAGTTTATGGTTACAGGCAAGTATAATTCCCTTTGTCGATGGGTCATGGAGCGTAGAGGTCATCCACAGCCCCTCCAAGTTCACCTCGTATCCAAACTCCCCGAGCGCCACCTGCAAGGTCCCTCATAATCCGGTGCTTTTATGCCTTTCCAGCATCATCTCCTTCCACTGTCCATCTCGAATTTGAACCCCAGCCACACTGAGTTTACTTGCAGTTCCTCAGATACTCCGTGTCTTCTCTACTTTCAAAGTCTTTGTTCAAGTTGCTTCTGCTCCGTGTGGAATTTCTTAACCCTTTCTCCATCAGTCTCAATCCTATTGACCCTGACAACTTAGCTCAGAGCTTATCTCCTCCAGGAAGCCTGAAGGCACACACAACTAGACTGGCAAATTGAGCATCCAGGGGCACTCTGGTTAGTGAACACAGACACAGAACTTTCTCTCCATTTGAGTTATAAAATGCTACAGAAGAGAAGATGCCTTTGCTTGAATTCCGAAGCACTGTCGTGTGGGAGAGATTCCTCTCTTCTGTGTGACTCTTCCTCACTGCCCCACCCTCCCTGTCCCCTTCCCCTGGGCAAGGGTAAAACCAGGGCCCGTGGGTGGAAGTTGTAGAGAGGTAAAACTCAACTCGACATCAGAAAGAATTTTCTGTCCGAAGATGGAATGGGCTGCTTTGTGAGATAGAGAGTTTTCGGAGGCGGAATGAGCAATCAGTGGGCTGCTGGAGAGGGAATTCACACGTCTGAGGGACGGAGGCCGTATTGCTCTCCTTGACCTCTAATATGTATCTTCTACCTTGAAATTCTGTTTTCTAACAAAGCAAAAAAGTGACTGTTTCCATTCTATTAATTTAGAGAGCGAGCTGAAAGTGAATTCAAGCAGTCAAGTCCAAGAGCTCTCCATCAACGCCAACACCGCCGTGGACTGTCGCATCTTGTCCCAGACCCCCGGGAACCTTCCGGTGGCCGTTACTTGGTATTTCTCTTCCATTTCCTCTAACACATCCTGGCTGAAGATCCTAGAAATGGACCAGACCAACGTTGTGAAATACGGAGATGAATTTCACACCCCTCAGAGAAAACAAAAATTCCACGCGGAGAAAGTTTCCCAAGACGTGTTTCAGCTGCACGTCCTGAACGTGGGAGACAGCGATCAGGGCAGATATCGCTGCGTGGTGCAGGAGTGGCTCTTGTCTGCAAATGGCACTGGGTACAAGCTTGGAGAAGAGACATCAGGTGTGACAGTCTTGAAACTCAGGCCCACAGGTAAAAACCTCGCGAGTGTACTCACACGTCTTTCTGTAGGATTGCCATCTTCTCTCGGGCAGCTGTTCTTCGGAGTGATCACAGGAAGGTAAAAAATAGGACCTAGAGTCCCAGGAAGAGTGTCACCTACACAATGACTGTAGATCTTGGAAACCCACTAAAGGGGGGGGGCCTTAGGGAGAATCATCCTGAGGTTTTAGGAAGCTCGGAGGAGAGCAAGCTTCCTCCGATTGGTTTGCTGCTCCGCCTGGCAGCCTGGTCCATGGAGCTACCCAGTGAGTCCTACCTTCCGATCTCTGTCATAACGAGCCGCGTCATCCCGGCGGGGCTCGATTGTAATTTGGCAGAGAAAGAGCAATACGAAGCATATTTCTCCCACTGTGAACAGAAACTGTACAACTCTACAGGGATGTGTGCAGAAATTGCTTTTCAACGTTTGGCTGCCTCAACAGAAGGCGAGGAAGGGTAGTTAACGGTGGGAATGGCCTACTGGGGGGGATCTCCGCACCCTCGGGAGATCTTTAAAAACGTAATAGGAGCTCCGTCCCCTTGCCTTGGTCTGGGAGAGCTGCGGCCTAAGTGTGGGCGGGGTGGCGTAGGTCTCTCGGCCTCAGTTTGGTCACCTCCAGTGTTGATTTAAAATTAAATGAATGTCGTGGGAACGGGATGAGATCTGGCAGCACGAAGCAAATAAGTTCATATCTAGTTTGGCACTTAAAATTCTATTTTCTCGATGGACAAGAGGTAGGGCCGCAGGCTGGAAGTGGCTGGTTGGATTCATAGCAGAGAATGTTCTAGCAAATACGGAAGGACAGAGGTCAAAGACAACTGTTAAAGATGAAGGACCTCATATCCAAAGGTTATAAGGTGGCATCTCCTCAACGAGAACTGGGCTTTTCAGAGGAGGTGTCCAGTCTACGAGTCTGGGTTCCTCTCCAACTTCCTCCCATTTCATTTCCTAGGAAGTCAGGTTCGTGTCTCCAAAGTGCACCGGACGGAAAATGCTACCGAGCACGGAGAGGTGGCCATGCACTGCCGCCTGGAGAGTGCGGGCGGCCCGGCCTCCCTGTTCTCCGTGACGTGGTACTGGGCCGGAGAACATTCTGGAAGCAGGATGCTGGTGCACCTGCAGCATGACAGCTTGCTGGAGTACGGCGAAGACCCGCTCCGGAGGCGCCTGCACTGTTACCGTTCGTCCCCCACAGACTTCGTCCTGAAGCTTCGTCAGGTGCAGAGGGCGGATGCCGGGCGGTACTGGTGCAGGGTGGTGGAGTGGCAGCTCCACGGCAGCCCGAGCAAGTGGGTCAGCCACGCGTCGGACGAGTCGCCGCATACGGTGCTCACAGTGCTGCCTTCAGGTAACGAGGGGTCACCCGCCGGGCTCGCGGTCGGGAGCATCTCTGCCTCCCCTCTTATCTTTCCCCTCCGGGCCATGCGAACACGCCCAGACCCCCTAACAACATGCCTTGGCCTTCGCTCTCAGCAGTAACTTATTTGGACAGGCACGGCCTACGTGAGGTGTCAGCGTAGACACTGAGACGGCAGGGGACTCTGCTCCTGCTTCCCATCCCAAACCCAAAAGGCCTCAGCATTAAATCCCTTTACATCGCCAAAGAGTGTCTGAAGGCCTTGGCTGATCCTGACTCTCAGGATGCTGATGTGCAGCGGGAGTGGGACCGAGGGAGGGGGACTGGCAGCTTTACCTTTGATCTGGTTGAACCAATATCAGCTACATCTGTGCTCCCCGGGTCAAAAACAAAACAAACAGAAAAAACCTTTCTCAGTGACCAAGGGCCAAGCCTCTTATCTCTCTGTGGCTCAACAAAGTACCAAGACTTTGAAAATGACAGTCATTTGGGGCACCTCTCCTGATTGCACCTTGAAAGGCATCAAGGGAGGAAGTGCACCTGAGAGAACCTGTTTACAGGTTTCCCCCAAAGGAAAAAAAGCCCCTGGAAGACCCGTTGGCCAAAGGGTGACCCCTCTCTGTGTGGGAAGGTCGCCCTATCCTGCTGAGCGCACAGATTCAGGAGGGACGTGCAACAAGCGAGGGATGTTGGAGGAGAAGGGGGCACCCTTCCAGCCAGTGCGGTGCCAGGCGTATAATAGGCATTTATTAAGCATTTGTTAATGAAAGCAAAAATGTCTCCAGCCAGACCGGTAAATCTTCCCTGGCGATCAATGAGCTGGCAGATGCTTTAGCCAGTGCATTCTCGGAGCCACTCTGCCTGGTGGCTTTAAGGAGGCGGTGAGAGGGGAGCCGTGAGCCAAACTTACTGTGGAAAAGCGTCTTCAGAGGGGCAGAGGTGTGGTCTTGGTTCCCGACACCAGAAAGGGTACAAAGGATCAATAAAGATAAAATTCCTAGGACACCAGCTAGCTTTGGCGACACTCCTTAGGAGGGAAAGGGTGCTGCTGACAACATAGGGAAGTTTCTCGGAAGGAGAGATAGAGAGT